AACTACTAATTGGGTATCCTAAACCGTAATTCCGAAATCATAAAGTACTAGTTCACAAGCCCTAAACCGGAAAATCCGCGAAGTCACAGGTCCCGGACCTTCGCGGGACCGACCCGCAGAAGATCCAACCCAGCTGGGCCGCCGAGTTGTTGCCTTCATTGCCGGTCACTATAGAGGGGGTTTCCGAAAATAGGGGACCCTAGTATAGTACCCTAAATAGTAGGATCCTTATTATAAGGGCCCCAATAAGGTATCCTGATTTTCTGAAACTCCCAGAAGCCTCAAGAATTAGAAATACTCTGAAAGACCACCTGGGTTCTTATTAAGGGGTTTGATCAAAGAAGGAAACCATATCATTTACTATAGATCCCCATTGCGGTATTCCTTAACAAGAACCCAGCCGCTTCTAAGGGTTCCTTATTATAGTTACTTCTCGTATAACACCCCCAAACTGTACTCTACATATCGAGGCGCATACATTGCCAGTGTCACTATTTTCCGTTCAACCTTGCGTAGCAATCTCATTGCTTAAGTGAAATGCCTGGTTCTGGCCTTTTTTCTGTGAAGCAAGGCTGTGACGAAGAGGAAGAAGACCATGATGATCATGGTAGTGATGAAACCGATGGTCATCATCCTGACCATGATCATGAAGCTGATGATGATGATGATGATGACGGCGGTGGTGGTGGTGGTGGCGGCGGCGATGATGCTGACAACGATGACGAAGATGACGAAGATGACGATGATTTTGATGATGACGATGATGGTGATGATGTCGCCGATGGTGATGGTGATCGTGACGGTGTTGGCGATGATGATCATGGTGGTAAGGACTGTGATGGTGGTGGTGATGATGACAATTATGATGAAGATGACGATGATGGTGATGATGTCGCCGATGATGGTGGTGATAGTGACGGTGATGGGGCTAGTTAACGTGATGATGATGATGATGATTCAGATGGTCAGGATGATGATGAAGAAGAAGAAACGATGATGATGATGATGATGACGGCGACGACGGAGACGGTCATGGTGCTTATGGTGACATAGGTGACGGTGATGAGCTATGTTAATGATCAGGACCATTGTTGTCATAATGGGCATAGACATGGTAGTCTCATTGGCTCTTGCTCATCTTCATCATCATCACCATTATCATCATCATCGCCATCATGACTACAATCATCATCACCATCATCATCGCCACAAGCAGCAGAAACCACGATGTCAGCACAATCGCCAGCATCATCGACAATTTCCAACGAAACTGCAGCAGAAGCCCATAGTACCTGCAAAAGAGGAAGCTTCCACGACAATTGGTGATACTAGAATGACGAATGCACTAGTAACTAATACGGACATTACTAGTAGAACCCCTACGGCCGGCACCCCCACGGCGACGACGACGACTACCACTACTGCCACGGCCACCACGACTACAACGACTACTACCACCAACTACCACTACCACTACCGCTACCGCTACCACTACCACGACCACTACAACAACAACAACAACAACAGCAACAACAACAACAACAACAACTACTACTACTACTACTACTACTACGACTACTACTACTCCTTCTGCTACTGCTACTGCTACTGCTACTGCTACTGCTCCTGCTCCTGCTCCTGCTCCTGCTCCTGCTCCTGCTCCTGCTCCTGCTGCTGCTGCTGCTGCCGCTGCGGCGTGGGGGGGTGCACCGAACAGAGAGAGCCGCACGCGTCGAAGCCCTCGTGCCACTAGCTTTCGCGCCCTTCTCAACTTCGTATTGCCAACAGCACAGCCCTCCGAGCTCCTTGCATTTGACAGAGGTCCCGGCCAGCTCAATGCCCAGTCTAATTTCTTACCATTTGTTGGCCCTGTAGACATCATGTGCAGCAGACGGTGTAGAGAGCGCAGATTTGGTCTGTGACGGAGGCGGACAAGGAGCCACGGATCTGGCTGAGCTTCGGGCGAGAGCGGAGGCAGCTCGAGCCACTGCGAGCGGAGGCTGGGCGCCTCTTGTTATTCACATCCCGATGATATGCACCGGCCAGTCGGAGTTTTCCGAGGCTGTGCAAAGAGCATGTGCATTCAAGACTGCGTTTGCTACCTCGTCGAGAGACTGCATGCCATTGCTTGGAAGCCCAAGGAGGCATTCATTGAAGTATCAGTTGATGCTGCCTTTTTGATCCTCGAAGGTGCTGTAGTTGTTGAGTTGCTGTTGCAGTATTCCCGGCTTGTTCAGCTTCTGGTTGCACTGCGGCACCCAGCTTCAAGTTCCTCCCCGCTTTGTTGCATGGGATTCTCGAGATTTTTTCTGGCCTGAGGCATGTCTGCATACCGTCGACGGATCAGCAGTCAACAGAGCCTTCTTGGAAGCCTCGAAGGAATCGTTGCTGACAACGAGGCCATGGGTATTGGTTGCTTTTCACGAAGATCATCTCATAGCAGCATGCAAGTAGCACCCGCAGATGTTGCACCCCAGAAGCCCTCTTCGCAGTCGAGCGACGTGCTCACGGGGGCGGCAGGGCCGATTCCGAGGATTTCGCATGTTGAACGCTTCGTCAACCTCCCGTTATTGGTCATCTATAAGCAGAGGTGGCAGGGCGAAAAGACTTGCCTCATGCTGAGCAGATCCTAGCACTAAACGAAGTCTGCAGTGTTCGCATAATGAGCAGTGTTGGCTGAAGAGGGGGGGAGTGGGCACCACGTAGCCGTTAGCCTAATTCGCTGCTGAGATCGCAGCCGAGTTGATGCATGGTGTTGTTGCTCTTGCTCATCAGCATTGCATTGATCGACTATCACCGTTCAGCCATCGAGTCTTGCATGCGTTGCCACACCCTTTTGCGAGGATCACCTGAAAGAGTAAACGAAGGTTGAGGTAGTTGTCCGTTGTTTGCAGCACGGTTGCAAGTGAGTGGCGAGAGAGAGAGAATAAGGGTGCGGGCCAAAGGCCTGAGGGTCGAGAAATCGACCCCTACGCCCCGCAGAAAGAAAGAAAGAATAAGGCCAAGTAAATACATAGGCCGGAAGGTATGTGTCCGCTAGGACTAGGACGAAGCACAACCGGAAGCACGAATGCAGGCTTAGGCTTGCTCTGTGAGATAAACCGCAGGGTCATCAGTCATACATGTCCATCTTGAGCAAGCTCCCTCCAAGATCAAAAACACGGAGTTCATAGCCCGTAGTCGCTTCTACGGCTTCCGTTTCAACTGCGGGGATCAGGTTTCCAAGAAGGGCTGCTCGAGTGGACAAGCATAAGATGCCCTACGTAGTCCACAACAGTTCAGTTGAGGGAATTTGATAAGTTTTGAGCAGGTTCCTGGTTTGGTCCACGTTTGGAAGTCCTGTAAAACGAAGGGGGAAGCCCACGAACGAGACCCTTCCAAAAGTAGAAGCTATCTCATCACAAGCATGTCCTGTACAGATTTTGTGATGTGTCCACTCTCAACAGTACCGAGAACCTCCTAAAAATGAGAGTTTGCGTAGGCCGACCGTTAGGCCTCAGTTTCGATTTGTTGGTTCGTGAGGGCTCTCACATCGACTGGGATCTGCGCTCTGAGGAGAAGGCTCGAAAGTTTTGCGATGCGTGCATTCTTGCTAGATTGTAGCTGACATCAGGGCAACAGCGTGCTCAAGTAAGGAAAAGACTCAAGAATCTCACGGCCACCTGCCAGTCATCACATCATGCAGGCACTGGAGAAGTTGCCTTGGACCAGGGGGCGAGCTTTCAGTTTCATCGTCTCCAGCATCATCTTTCTGAATACGGTTCCCAGGCATGGAGTTACAGGTTGCGTTGCGCGTGTTCACTGCGGGCTTGGCAGTCCTTTTTGTGAAAACAAGAAACGATGTCCAAGCCAAGGTCTGGCTCGGGCTCGAGACGGAGACGCGACCTTGAAAGCTGTTGTAGTGGCTCAGTATTGGTGTGTCTCCTGTTTGTTTTTGCAGCTAGAGCTTCTGGCGGCAGGATTATTACGACGAAAGGAACTATGTTGGGCAAGTCGATCCATGGAGGATAGTGCCGGCCTTGTATTGATGCAGGGCAGCGGTACTAGCACATGTCAGACAAGTGTGCAGAATTGTCCTGCGGCAGAGACGGCCGGGCCCAGGTCAACTACACCTTCGTTGGATTTTTCGTGGTTGAGCTTGTCATCCGAATCTACTCCCGGTCGTGGTGGCCCTTCATTGCAGACAACTGGAATAAGTTTGAGTCTCGGAGGAAGATCCCGAGCATTGAGGGTGCTCCGGATCATGACCGAAGAAGCTTTCAGTCTTAGAGCCAAAAACTGAGAAGAAGAGCAGGAATACGGGACGGGCTTCGGAGAACATAGGCCGTCCAACTGCCGAGAGCTGGAGATGTCTAAGGACTTTGGCCTTGTGTTGCTATCCTTAGTGGACACATTCCTGCTGGAGCAGATCTCGGACAGTGCAGGTTCGTTCGGCCGAGCGTATTAGCCGCTATTTACCTGCAGGCACTGTACTGAAATCTCTGCCATCATCAGGAGCCAGCTAGTTGACTTGGAGCAAGACAACTTCCGAGCACCTAAGATTCCGAGCAAGAATCGTCGAAGTCGTCACTGCGAGTAGGAATCGTTCGTTGAGAAGCTTGCGATCCCAAGCAAACCTGCCAGGTTCTTTGAGCTCGCTGCGCGTTCTGCGCGTGCTGCGCGTAGCACGTGTGCTCAGACTGCTGCGCTTCTTCAAGCCTCTCTGGCTGCTGGTCATAGGCCGGAGCTTGGCGAAGGAAATCCGGTGAGCCGTAAGGCCACAAGAAATGCCTGTCAGCCGTGAGGGTCAAGATCGCCAGAAATTGCAAAGGTAGGTGTTATCGACAGGTGACACAGACATCGACATAGCATTTCAATGCATCCAACCTATTGGCAGCTGGGGTCCGGAATACATAGCAAAATAGAAGCACAAGCACGGCCGGTTATTAGCTCGACTCCCCTGAGGTGCCGTCGATGCGATGCGTGCTTTGCTGTGGGCGTGGGTCGCTCTGCTTTTAAAAGACGATGCTCAATGCGAGAACGTACTGTTCTTTGCACAGGCTTCCTTTGGTGTCACCTGTCTCCATGTGAGGTGTTGATCTCCATCCTCATCTACATCTTTGCCATCCTGCTGACCCGAACCGTGGGCTTCGCTCATCGGGGAGCCTCTGAAGATGTCGACAAATATTTCGGAAATCTCCTGTACAGCAACTTGGCAGAATTTGGCAGACTCGGCACATGCAATCAGCTGCTGCCAGCTTGACCTGCAGAGAAGCTTGGCATTACGAGCGCGCTCAGTCCTTCCAGGCTTCGGCGTCATATCGCATGCGAGCTTAGACGGGTTTATCGACCGAAGTGATTGCGAAGCTGTCATTCCAAGATACATTCACAGCCTGACACCTATCTGTCCTTGTTGTAGCTGCTGGTGATTCGGGTCATTATAGTTTCAACATGCACAAGCATCAACCGATTCGGTTTGGGATAAGGGTTGCGGGGCAGACTCTCGGTTCTGTCGAGCTCAATGGGAGCGAGCAAGGGTCCAAGTTCTATTCTATTCTATCTGAGATTATGTCAGCTGCCACTCGTTGTGGGCCGTTTTATTTGTCCTTGGCCTTTCCAAGCTTGCCCTTGAATTCAGCCTGGCACCCATCGACGAGCGGATGGCTGCGACTTGCAGCCTGTATCTCCATGAAAGCGATTCTTGTGTGGCGCGCTGGGGTGCCGACATGCAAGATCACCCCCTGGAACTTTGACAAACCTGCGGGAAGGTCTTTTCAATCGCCGCTGCCGCACCACCCCCCCCTTGTCGTTTTCAATCCTTACATACTTGTTCAGAGGCTCGGGGCTGGATCCGCAACAGGTGCTCGCATCTACAGATTGTGTTCGGTGTTGCCACGAGTCAGCTGAAAGTTATGTCAGTTACGACACATGGCTGATGCCCGCTTGCTGCGATGCCGTGCTAAGGCTGTTTCACGCTCTTCCAGGCTGGTATTGCTCACGGAGCTTGCCGTAATAGCTTTGGAAGTATCCGAAGCAGGAGGTTCGGCCATAGTCATACTTGTGCGTTTTGAGATCGGCAATACTTTATGTAGAACACAACCAATCCTGAAGAGCATACATAGTAAGAGGACATTGACGTTGCTGATCCCCGCAAGTCCTCAGCACCGCGCTTTTTGTCTGAATGATGGCAAGAAACCACGGCTCTGAGAACAACTCTGGAACATGCATGAACTTGCAGAACTTTTTATTGCCGGCATCGGGCTGGACGGGTAGTGATAATGTCCATGGTCAAAGTCTGAGCGTCCATGATCTACTGCGTTCTGAGCACAAAGCATTCAGTGCCCGACCATGATAACGTCCATGGTTGGCCCAACCATGATAACTTCCATGGTCTAAGGCGTTCTGAGATTCTAGCCCTACCCACCCTTGGGTCTGCAATGTTCCTAACAACCGTTCCCGAATCACGGCTTTCGGTTTCCGAAGGATGCGTCCGGTTTCTGATTCAGCAGTTCTGGTGTCCGAATCAGAGTCGTTCTGGTTTCCGAATCATGGTGTGGTTTCCGAATCAGTCAGTCTGGTTTCTGATTCAGCCGTTCTGGTTGCTGATTCGGTCGTTCTGGTTACAGATTTTTCCACCGACACGACGGCAGGTGATGACCCTCGAAGGCTGGCCAGATGTCGCGCGGGCGGCTACAGACGTCGAGCCCTGGGTTTGGTGTTTCGGCACACATAGTTGCGAGAGTGAAGGCATGTGAAGGCATCAGGATAGCTCTGCGGCGGCCCGGAACTGCGAGCTGCATGTTGAAGATGTTTTCCTCGTCGTGACCTCCGAGTGAAGATGCTTGAGCCAGACTGATGGCACATGATGGCACCATCTGGCGATAGTAGACAAGTTGGCCAGCAGAAGCGGCAGGATTGTTTAAGGACCTCAAGCATTCAACAGCAGCTTAAGATCGGCGAAAGGGTCGTCTTACCTGGCGTCTTTCGGGAAGTCTGGCCTTGACTGTAATTCGACAGCCAGACTGCATGCTTGCAAATGTATCAGGATCGTCTTTGTTGCGTTCTTGCTCATCACGACGTTCTCCATCATGAACATGATTGTTTCTGCGCTGCGCTCAGCTCGAATGAGTCTGCTTGTCCCATATTGCCATAGTCAGGAATGGGATTGTATCCGTAATCATTTGCGCATGACCGGAAATGCTAATGCCCTGAGAGGTCATTGTTGACAGCACCCTGGAAGCTGCCTTGGACCAGAAGCTCCAAGCCATGCGTGACCAGGAGCATCACCAAGACTGCATTATGTGCGGTGCGCAAGAAACACGGACAGGAATACCAGACTTCAATGGCTGCCGTGAAGGTTGACGAGGCTGAAAGCTGCACGCGCAGGGCTTTCCGGAATGGGTGCATAGTGGCGATTCACCAGCATGTGCGCAGCGCGGACACGTCGACGCACAGGTTTTTCGACGTGCTGACGGAAATGGAGACGGTCACATCACGAAGGACTGCTTTGGCAATCCCACGGCTCATATCTGATGGAAGCTCTTGTACAGATTCTTCGAAAGTAAGTCATTGCCGCGACACAGTGAGACCAATTTCCAGGAAGAGCTTATGCAAGCTCTTCTCAAGCCGGATGTGCGTCTCTACCTGCGGGAAGTTGGCATTGACATAACCAATGCGGAGTTCATTTTCGACGTGGCTGTAGCAAATTATGTACAGCATGGTGCTTGAATGTGTTTCGTCGAGGCTAGTAGCAGTGATTAGCTTGCTGTGCAGGTGGTAAGTGGCATCAGTGTCAAAGCTGATTACCTGAAAATGCTGAAAATCGTAAGTTTTGTTTGCTGCTGGACAGGACACTTTTGAAATGTGCTGAGTGCTGGGTTGACAAGTCCAGATCGACTGCGCATCCCAGGTCATTGACTACGACGGCTCTGGGGAGCTGGAGTACAAGGAGACCAGTCGTAGCAATTCGAGCGAAGCAAACGTGTTTTGTTTTCATGGCAACACTCGAGGGCATGCGTTTTGACATGCACGCATTGCCAGCTTTTGTGCAGGAGTTTGCTCTGGGACTGGTCAAAGCGCGTGGTGAGGCGAAAGCCCAGGACCGGCCTCTGACTTGCCGCTGCGAGACCGTTCGACTGGAATGTTCCGGCATGCAACTCAAATTCTCGAAACCAGAGCAGCGATCAACAACTTGCAGGGAAAGAAGATTCACTACACTGCTCCACAGCCGGCCAACGTTTAAAAATAGTTGTAACGTCTGCAATTCTCTGGCCGTTGACCAGCGAGTTGCAAATGCCACTTGAATTTCGGTGCTGTGGGTGGTCTTTGTCTTCAGCCTGCCGTTGCAACTCGATGGTACATGGCAAGGGCCTACAGCAGTTTCCGAGCGCCTTAACGGCAGAGCACTGCATCTTTCTGGCGTCTGCACCTTTTGACGCGGTGTGGTGTCCACGTGGGTGTCGGCGTAGACCTTACCGGAGGCCAAAAATTAAAAACTCTTACGGGTATGACAGGAGGCCTGTAGGCTGGCTGCATTGTATTGCGATTTTGCTTCCAATAGGTACAAATTCACATTCGATTTCACTGTCCACTCAAAGTCATCCCAGGTTTGTTGTGCTCGGGTTGGGAGGGGTGCCGCCCCCCAAATCGTCGAGAATAGGTTCAGTGTCGAATCGATGTATCATTAGGAAACTGATCCAAAGCGGTTCAACTCAAGTTGGATTTACAACCGTTTTAAATAGGTTGAACAAAGCCGTATCAAGGGATTAGTAGAGTTCGAGTGTCGATTCGGTCGGGGAGCCCAGTTCCGAGTCCTTTTTGGTGTGCCGCTCTTTTCGCCGGGTATGCATGGCGCAGGGCCTCTTGATCTTTTGTGGGGAGCATACTAATTTTTGAAGTCTTCAAAGGTTTCAGCCAGCATGGGCGGCTTCCGCATGCAAGCTTCGGTCGTATTCGAACCGGGTGGCGCAGCCGATAAGCTACTATCAACAAAAATTCACAACCTTTGCCAGGTCGGAGTTAGCACTCGTCGCAAAGACTGTAGCAGCCTAGAATAGGGTTCGACGTGCGTGTGCTCCTTGAGTCGTGGCCAGTGGTAGGGCTTCGTGTGGCACGGACTGTTCGGAGATTTTTGTGGGAGGAAGTGTTGGCGCTGCAGTCTGGCCCTCAGCTCTCAAGAACAGCATGGTTGGCGTCACAGTCCAGTTAATATGCAGCAGGCGTGGGCATATAGACTTTTGATATCTTGTGATGAATGAGTCGTGCCACCAAGATGTGACCTTTGGCGGCGGGAGCGAACTCTGCGAAAGGAGCTGCAGACAGTTTGCGGCTCACTTAGAACTGCGCCAATTAATCGTGTCGACTTTTTGCATCTTTTTGCAAGGGTCTATATGTTCAGGGCTGTTGCTTGCGCTTGGAGCATGGTTGCTTCCAAGCTCGAGTTGGCAAGGCCGATCGGCGCAATTCCTGTTGATCACGTACCATTTCGGTGCTCTGTCCTACTTGCACCTTGCATTTCACGGAGGCTTCTCCTTGCGTGTTGAATGCCCTTCTCTGTAGGTCCTTGTAATGCTGCCAGACGCGCATTATGCCTTGTACCCATGTTTGGAGTTCAGCGCTGCTTCTTTTGGTGCCCGCCAGTGGGCGGATTGTGCCTATGCACCGTGCCTGTGCATGCCCTCACGAAAGTCCGTGTGGAATCGTGTGGGTGGTATATGCCACCTTCCAGATAATCTCTTGGCTGTACTCCTGCGTGTCTGTCCGTGCAACGCGGACTGAAGACATTAGCATGCATGGCACAGTGAAGATCTTGTAGATGGTCATCCTGAGCGTCGTGACATCATAAGGTGTCACAGTTGACTCGCGCATGCGCTCCATCGATGACTCCCTCGAGTCGTTGCGGAACGACTTGCAGGCGCACTCGCGGACCGGTTGAGTCGTGACCGAGGCTTCAAGGAAAGTGCTAACAGTTTTCCGTGCAGCAAGAGTAGAAGTCGTCAACCTGCCCGGGCCTGCAAATAGCTTGAGCTAGCCGCGAATGCTGCATGTGGAGTCCTGTGGGCACTGCTCAAGTGTCTTGACATGTTACGGTAGCCAGGTTGTGGATAATGCCCTGCGGATGAGGTCTCTTCAGCTTCAGTAGTGTCTAGTAAGTAGTAGTGTGACCGTGTAGAAGATGGTCAGACTGCAGATGGCATCCATCAGGGGAGTCTGGCTGCCCGCCTGAAGCAAATCGATTGATGCAGAGTCCAGGAAGGACATAGGGTGTAGGCATGAAGACAACAGTACTCGTTGAACCTTGCTTTCTGGCCACCTTCCCACAGTTTCCGTGCCAGTTTATGATGAAGTGGAAGCTCCCCAAAGGGGATGCCTTCTATACAGTCTCTGAACACATGTAGGATGCCCATATGTTTTTCCGTCTGATACGCCCCGTTCACATCTTGTAAACAAGAGCATAATTCACGCAGTGAAGATGTTGATGTCATAGCGACCTGGCAGTGATGCAGGCACAATGCCAGCTCCTAACGTGAGTTTTGTGTCACACCTAATTGGGGCCTTTACACCCCCCCTCATTCAACGCGCAGGTCAACGAGGGAAAACTCCCCGCTATGACTCTCTGTTTTAGCAGTTTTTTGGTACACTAAAATGCCACTGTGTTCGCAGGAAAGGAGCATCTCAAGGCAGGTGGAATGATACAAAAAGTTAATGGCCTTCAGGCGATTGGCATCTTTCACAAACCTCACAAGCTTGTCATGAAACGGGGGCAGAAAGGTTTTGAGGGTTTTGGTCAATGTACATCGCAGTCAGCAACAAGCAAGTCGAGCACAGGTGCGCACAGCATCGAGGACAAGTAACTTGATCATACCTTTTGTCTCCAAGCCTTCAAGTCAGTCGGAGTCTGCCGTGCTTACATTCAGACAACCTTACGGCCTTACCTCTAGTGGATCCTGGTGGACTTTGTTCCATGAGAATATTGATCCTATGTGCCACTCGACCGAGTTATCCGAGTCAGCCGGTGCTGACAATCCGGATCTCCAGGAAGTCTGCATGCACGGAAACTTGGCTTGCCCAATGGCATTCAATTTTGCTGCTGCTGCTGCTGCCGCTGCTACGCAGGGGCTCTTGAAGTTCGGAGTTCCTACTCCTCCGCAGGCATTTGTGCAAGCTGAGTTTTTTGGCTCTGTTTAGTATGCACACGTGCGGGTATTGGATGTCATGCTAGCCGCTGTGAGTCTGTGAGCATGCCTTCAGTCAGTTCTACACTGACACAGCGGACGATCTCTTCGAGAGTATTTATGCACATGCAATTAATTATGATGCACGCTTCTCGAGATGCCGAGGCTTTTCCACATTTGGTTTTTCCGCTCCTGCGACCGTGTGTCGTCTTGACTCTGCAGGCAAATGACCGCATGGTCGACCAGCTTTGCACTCGGCATAGGGTTTCGCGTGTCTCTGTAGAGTGTCAACAAACGTGACTCATTGCGAAGATTCTGGGACACAGTGCCGCTCGTTGTTGCACCAGACTGGAACACTCTGGAACTCTTCGGTCGCCCGCCTGCCGGAAGCTCAGCATGCTGATAGTCTCGGCCGTGGACCACGACAGTTTGCATTTTTCATCGAGAGTTTCTATGGGCGTTCTAAAGTCCATCATTCAAAGTTATGACAGTGGAAAGGCACAGCCAAAAATGCTCGCGCGACAACAAGCAACAAGCAACAACAACACAGCAACCAACACCAACGACAACGACAACAACAACAGCAACAGCAACAAACACAACAACGGCAGCAACAACAGCAATAACAACAACAAGCAAACAAGCAAAAAATAACAATCACCAAACATATCATCAACAACAAACAACGCCAACAACAACGACCACGAACACGACGACAAGGACAAGGACAAGGACAACGACAGCGACAACGACAACGACAACCACGACAACAACGACGACAACGACAACGACAGCAACAGCAACAGCAACAGCAACAGCAACAGCAACAACCACAACAACCACAACAACGACGACAGCAACCACGACAGCAACAACAGCAGCAACAACGGCAACAAGAGCCGCCGCAGCAGCAACAACAGCAGAAGCAACAGCAGCAGCAACAACAAGCGAACAAACAAAGAAACAACAACCACGAGACGTATCAAAACAAGCATACAACGACAAAAACAACAAGAAGAACAAGAACAAGAGCATCAACAACAGCAGCAACAACAACAACAGCATGACCAACAATCACAAGATTAAGAAGAACAATAACAATAACAATAAGAGCAACACCAACAAGAAGAATTAACAAGAATACAACAACAACAATAATAATAACAACAAGAACAACAACAATAACATCAGCAACAACAACAACTACTACTACTACTACTACTACTACTGCCCCCACAACGACGATGACCGCTAAAGTACTGTACTGTCTCCGCTACTTTTGCTACTGTCACTATTGCTATGAATGAAGGTCGCAGAATCAGGTTATCCTTACAGCAAGTAGCGCTACAGTTTTGTGTAGTGTCGTTAGCATTGGCATTGACTCATTGCAAACGTGCGCTGAACCGCGGTAAGTACCTAGAGAGAGTGGCCATTGTTGGCGTTAATGATGTCCACCATATGAGAGATTTGCAGGAAGTTTCTCACCAGCTCTTGCAGTAAGAGACCTAGTCTGAAGGAAGCCTGTACAAAGCTTCAAGGCATCGTGAACAAGAGTTTAACAGGCCCTTCATCATTTGGGTGTTTAACCTGCAAGGTTGTGATATAAATATGCCTCCACGAATGTTCCACGGTGGTGGTGCAAGAGTATCTGTTCGTCAAGAAGGTCATCAGGACCGGATTTCCGACCCCCTGTGGTGAGTGTTTGTTCTGCTTGTAAATACTGTCTTCTTTGCTTCCGGGCCCGCTGGTTGTTGATGCTCCTTCACATTGCTGACAACCGCAAAGTGACTTCGAAATCAGAAGTGCATGTGCACGCGTACATGTTCTGTACATTACAATATTACAATATTTTTGAAGCCTGAGGAGGCGAACGCCTGATATGGACCGAGACATGTCACTCATTCACAAATGTCTGCTTTTCATCTGAAGCATCATGATCACGTCTTTGGACTGAGTGCTGTGCTGAATTCATAGCATACTTGTTGACTCGGGCCCCACCAGTCGTAGGGCCATGTAGGGCCGAACAGGTTGGCGCAATGGCTCATCGGCTTGTTCGGTGATCAGAGCCCGGCACCACATACTTGTAGGGGCCAAACTGATTGGTGTCAAGGGTGAACCGATCAATTTCTCAATGCTTTAGTAGCTGGCTTTGAGCGCATGGAGCCTACACCCACATTGAAAAGACCAGGTTGCTTGGCTTGATGGCTTCATGGTACAAGTCTATAACCCGGGCTGGCGGTCCAAAAGCTGAGCATGTTGGAGTCACTTAGCTTTCCTTGCGTTGTCCAAACCCCGGGTGGGTTGTTGGCGTGCCTTGCCTCCCAGTGCAGCTCGTTTAAACTCGATTCCAACCCCCCTGCGGCATCGCTACAACATTTTTGGTATCATAGCGGATTGCGGTGATGCGACACGACATGCCAGCGCATCAAGTTCTACGCACTTCGGAGATGGTGAGGGGAGAATGTGTGAATATCGATGAGCCCATGCTGAGGCATCGCTGCTTTCCGCGCGGTGGACCGCGGCGATTTCTGGATGCGCCGAGGCCTTGCACTCAGACTTCGATTCCCCACGTAGAATGTATCAACGATCTCTTGGCGGCAACAGGGTATTCAGCTTGAATGCCACGTTGGGTCGACGGCAGACGTGCACTACTATCATCATTATTATTGTAATTATTACCGCCACTACCACCCCTACTACTACTTCTACTACTACTACTACTACTACTACCACTACTACTACTGCTACTACTACAACTACTACAACTAACTACAACTAACCACTACTACTTCTACTGCTACTGCTACTGCTATTGCTACTGCTGCTGCTACTACTACTACTACTACTACTACTTCTACTTCTACTTCTACTTCTGCCTCTACTACTGTGATTAGCAAGAGCGACATTGATTGTTGTTTTCCAGTTTCCGTCGGTTCAAGCATTGTTTCACGCCGCGTATGTCTCAAACATGCTTTGTGCTGTTATTGGTGTCATGTACGCCATTCGCGGCCCTGGAAGGTTTTGCAATGTTTGACACGCGTTTGACTGGCACTGTGGTTTTGGCGGAAAGAGGCGTTAAAACAATTGATTTTTATGACATGCATGTGCTTAGATTTAGCATGCGGGCACATGGTAACTGAGAGGCACAGCAATGCAACACTAATATTTCTTACTGCGTGTGGAGAGACTCTACCAAAGCAGTCTTCAAGGGCCTGTTCAGGCACAGGACATTTTGTCTCCAGACACAACTGAAAGCGTTGTTCCAGACCATCGAGGCAGTCTGGAATGGCGCAGCCAATCGCGGAGCCAGCACCGCTGACAGCGTTTTGCACAGCCAAGGCAACATGCTTCACGGCAGTGGGAATGTTGTTAATCCATTCGTCTCTCTCGAATCTCTGGAACAGTGTGTTTGACAAACAGAGGTTCTCGGCAGAAGTGTCATTGCCCGGACGGCCTTTGATGCCATCGCCGTGCGGGCTTCACGTGCGTCATGACACACGGAACCAAACAGAGCACTGTGCAGAAGTCAGACGGCACGGAATCATCCCCCCCACCCCCTAAACCCACTAGCGTCACCTCATTCTGGCACGGGCATCAAGCATCGTTCGTCATCACGCCAAACCTGAAGGAGCCTCCATGTACCCCACTCGCCGGCTTGAATTGTGAATACCCTCGGGGCGGCGAGTGGCGTACATGACTTGTTGTTGGAGCCCTGCCGTGACATGTTGTGGGAAGTGGATCGCGAAGGGGTATAATTTAATAGGGCTTGAGCCTTAATAAGTGAGACAATTGGCTCCCGACCCAAGGATCCTTCGGATCGGACATCTATGGGGCCTGCAGCTGTGATTACGGGTTCAGGGTTGGACATTCTCTGCGTTTCATACAATTCTGAGGATGCTCCTTTGCGCCATGGTAAGCTGCATCAGCCAGCCTCTCAGTTCCCACGCTTGCTGAAGCGGCACCAGCAGTATTCAGCATGGGGCACAGTGGCACTACCGTGATGGTCGAAGAAATATGGGAGGGCTAGCTGGATTGCTTTTTTGAACGCCGGATTCCTAGAAAACTGCGCAGGGCAAGGTGTGAGATCTCGCTGAGGTCCGCACCACATATTTACGCCAGAGCATTGGAGGTACCGATCGTTGATCTGCCCTTTGCCCTGTGCTGTGTGCTTTCCATCAGACGCTTCCGTTGAAGGCTCTCATGCCGTTGAAACCTGGAATGTCGTCGGGATCCAAGTGGAAGTGCCGCACACACTGCGTGCGTCATCGTGCGCCCGGGCGATGAACCGATGCTGAGGTTCTTGAACATTGGCTCGGGAACCGGCTACTTCAGTTGTTTGGTGGCCGAAGTTGTGGGCGAGCCTCGTTCTTACATCACTTCTGCTACCGTATGCTGTCAGCCCCCGCTCAGCGAGTGCGTCCTTCAACTGGAAGAGGGCGTTCGTGTATCTGGGAGGTTGTAAGCCGGGAACCTCGAATCTGTGCCAAAAACACGAATGCTTCGCGTTCGGCGAGCTATCCCCCTGGGAAAACGATGTCGTTATGATGCTTATGATGCTGGGCTCGAGATCGGCTCCTCGAGCCATTGTCATCGCCCAGGCGGTTCTTACCGCAACCCTTGCGAATAGAAAGGGCTTCAGAATGCCTTCGTGTTGGAGTTTTCGTCCGGCCCCGGCGCATGCAAAGCTGCATGTGCATCCCTACCCAGGCCGCTTCTGAGCTATTCTGTCGGAAAGATGCGCCGTAGCAACGTCGCTGCGCAGTTTTTTCTTTGGGTATACACTTTGCGTGGTCTGAGAACCAGCTATTGAAATCCTGACTTGGTCGACAGGGTGGCCTGGAGAGTGGTTCCAGGGAGGGTGCTGTGGCCGAGATGGTCATGGGTCGCGAGACCGAGAGGGTGTCATTGCCAAGATCCAAGATTGTGTCTCTTTTCCAGTTTACAACCTCAGCTCAGCTCCTTCTAACAAGGTAGAAGCCTTGGCCTGAACAGAAAGTCTGCATACACACTTACGGTCCCCGACGGCTAAAGGGATCGCTGCAGGATGCAGCCAAAGTCTGCACGACGTGTTTTCTCGAAAGCAGGGTGAAGGTGACAACAGCGCATCGTGGCGAGGTCAGTGCAGTACAGCCTCGATGTAGGTTGCGGATCAAAGGTGGCAGGAGTTAAGGAATTGTGCTCGGGTGCTCGAAAGACCTCTGCACGAGCAGAGCTCTTTAGTCAACTGCAGATCAGATAGATTCTGCTTTGTGCAGATGCAAGATGATGCAAGGTGTGGTGTGAACGATGGTTTGGAGCTCTGGCCGGAGAATGTGGTCCATGCACAGGCCAACGCAGGCGATACACATTTTGAGCACATACGCACACGTTGCCCCATTCAGGAACGCTGTGCTTCCTTGGGCAAGTACCACATCGAGTTCAATGTAGGAAACGTGTACCAGCAGCAGCCTCTGCAATGTTCTAGCAGCGTTCTGCGCTTTGTCCTTGGTCCTCGGAATTGGTAACTCTGTGCTCGGTTCACGTGACTATGTGTTGCTGAGTGCATTCCAGGCTCGATGTCAACCTCGGCATGCGCTACGACCGGATCTATGTCAGCCACCCACGTTCACGTTGCTTCCTTTGGTTTGCACTGCGTGCGCCGCAGCTCACATCGGGTAATTGACTTTGGCTCAAGGGTGTCGACTGAGGGCCCCGACTCTAGACTCTAGATGGGGCCCGGGCATCGCTTAGCGACAAAGTGTCAATGAAGCAGGCCCTGCTGCCTCTGTCAGAGTTTCATGAGGCGATCTGCAGGTGTCGAGCTCTTTGCTGTTGGCAGGTCCTCAGCATTGGAGCGCTGTTGCTGTGCAGACCAGAGGCCGTGTTTCTGGGAATCTGAACTTCAGACGAACAAAACTTTCCAGCAGCCATGCAACCATTGTGTCGCTGGTTGAAACAGCTGTGTGCCCATCTGTCCCATGATGTGGAATGCTTGCACTTCTCTACATTTCTCTATGTTAGAAAAGTCTTGCTTGCCCTCGCTTTGCCTGGTGGGTCAAGTTCGGTAACCAACAAGTTCTTGGCCTAGGACCCTCTTTTCGACGACTGCCCGCGATGTTTGTGACTCGCATGCCGGCAGTAAGCACGAAACAAGCGCCGCAGCAGATCTGTGATGAGAGGCATGGAAGCTGCGCCATGATGAGGCCAGCGGGCCGGTTGCCAGCGCCCGATCTTTCGGAGCCTTACGGGCATCAATAATTAGGATGGGGTTCTCTGTGGCAGGGCCAAAGCCTCCGAAATGAAGAGAGCTGTGTCCTGGCTGCATGCAGGTGTTCAGACGATTCCGGACTGTAATTCTGTCGATTTGCAAAGCACCTGTATGCGCTCTTGCAGCCACGCCCTTCATTCTCACACAACTGCCCGTGCGGCCCTGAACGCAGTGCTTGCTCAGTGAGCTGGCCAACGGCTGATTTCAAGCCGGTCTGGATGTGTTCAACCTCGCAGACTCTGAGGCCTCATACTTCATGTGAGTATCACGACAGTTTATGCTCGCAGCTCCAGATGTGCCACCAAGGGATTATCTGCTGCGCCTTCGAAACATTTCGAACTTACTGCTCTTCTTGGGTTCCATGGGATATGCGTCTCTCTCTCTCTCTCTCTCTCTGTATGTGGCGGGGGGGCATTGGGCGGCTGTGTTGCTGGCATGCTTGATCAACAAAGTCTCCCTGCACGCTTCTTTTTCCCTGGCTTGTCTTGCCCGCCTTACCTGTTGCGGGTAGCTGCGTGGGAACCATTGCCAGAGGACTTTACCACGTGAGTTGCAAAGGCTTTTCTATTATCCACCATCCTTTTGCCACGGGATAGCTGTGGACTCCAGAATCCTGCATTCCCTACTCGGAGCAGCGTCCCTCTCCCCGGCAGCAAGAAGTGTACGTGGACGTTGGCACATTGCCTTGTTGGCACCGATGTCCGGCATTGTTGCTAGGAAATTGCGAAGGAGACTGCGGTATACTGCAGTGCAACAGCAGAAGCATTCGACACCCACTTGCACGAGTGCCGATGCTTGGGACGGGTCTGCAAAGCTGCGACGATCGAGAGCCTTTACGCCTTAAAAGTCGAAACTAGAAACTCACGATGTTGCAAAGAGCAATGTCAAAGTTTGTTGCGCCAGAGTGAGCGCTGGCACAGTGAGGAATCCATCCAGACTCTCGTACTTCCGATTGGAAATGCCAACGACAGGAGTACCGACGAATTCAGTTACAGCGATCAGCCAGCCTCGAGGCGCTAGCTCAGTATCGCTAAGTTGGCCGCGCAAGCTGAACAAGCTGAAAGGCGGGAGGGGGGATACTTGCAAGCCCGAGAATCAAGTAAGAAGAAAGTCGCAGCGAGGAGTGGTCTTTGCAATGCCTTGGTTGGAAGCACCTTGAAACTCTCAGGTAGCACACATCCATGCTATTTGAAGGATGGATGGGCCCCAAAGCGGCTCGTCTGCCAGCCCTGGCATTGGACTGTTGGAATAGCTTAGAATAGAGCAGACCGGTTGTGAGCAGACAAAGGCCAGACTTCGAGAATCTGAAGGGCAGCAACAATCAGGACTGCTTGAACATGTGATTTGCACTTGGACAATGTGTTGTCTCGTCAGCGTGCTCAGCTGTATGAACTAGAAAGCTCGAACATCACTGCCTCCCGCCACAGGTAATTACTCGTAGCAGCAGCCTCTACTGTAGTGTAGAGCCTCTTGCAGGCTCTGCGTGGTTGAAGCTGTTCAACAACAGGGATGTGAGTCCTTCGGAGGAGTTTTGTAAAATATACCTAAAATCCGGAACGTCTTAGAACTATAGACAAATCCCATATATAAACCCAACAACAATCCCAAATTCCCATTACTGTATACCCAACAACATCTAATCAATAATCCCCGACTAACTGTATGGACTTTTAAAAGCCTTTTCTCTACGAAGGCTTATGTACTTCTTTGGCAAGTCCCATACAAAATCCAAGAAGCATCCTGAAATTTAAAATATGTTCGCTTGATATCAGGACTGTTGCTGCTTGGCTTGATGGCCGGCATGCACGCATGGCCAAGCATATCCGGGATTGGGAGGGTACGTGCATCAAAGAAGCTCATCGCCTACGTGTCTGTTGGTGCTGAGGCCGCCCCACCTGCAGGAGATGGGATTGTACTTCCGGCTACAAGGCTGGCTGATGCTGGCAGCGGGTAGTGACGTTGCCACCCGCATGTCTGTTGAAGGTCTCAACTACATGCCTTGTGCTTTGCAGTGTGGGCATAATCAAGGGGACAGCACCTTGTCTAAGTCGCATGTGTGGCCTGGTTCTGCTCTGTCCTGATCCACAGCGCCCTGCCAAGCAGGGCTCAGGAGCGCAGACCAAGCCGGCTAGACGGTTGCGTTACACTTCGCCCGAGTCCCGCATGCTTCAGAAAGGCCAATCCGGATTACATCGACAATGTGGCATCCAATGACAGAGAGTGTTGCGATAGACTTTGCTCGAATCCTACACGCATCTTGTGTTTGGGTTGAGGATTCAGGTCTCGCATCAAGAATGCATTCACAGGTCTGTCATGAGATGCAGCTACCATTGCTGCTTTTGTTGTGCTGGTGTGCTGCCGCCATCTCAGGACAGTCCAGTGTAATGCCACCCACACAGTGCCGGATGCAAAGAAAGACAAGCTCGGTGCTTCTGCAGAGGACCAGCCTTTTCAGACTGTGCGGGCATCAACATTATCGAAACTCCAGCATCTCCAACTCTTAAAGATTGAAATCTCGCCCTTTTCGGTTTTTAGAGTTCCAGAACTTTAAGTTACCAGTAACCCTGTTGTCAGTAAATCTCACTAATGTGCGTGGTGTTGCTAGGTGCTGTTTGTAACACGAAGACATTGTTGACATGAGCATATACATGCCCACCTCCTGTGTTGCGTTTTTTGGCACGCCAAAGATACACATGCACACTCACCCAGCAGAACATACGAGCATAGCGCTTCTGCGATTGTATACAGTGCAGGCAGTATAGGTGCTTTCCGCCCTCAGGAGTGCTGTGTACCGAAGTGCTCGCAGCACACTTGTTTTGGCAGCTGGGCGACGAATACCTCCATGTTGAACCAGGCACCTGTTACCCCCGCATTCTTTTGCCTGGGCCTGTTTGGACCCGAACTCTCATGTGCATCATGTGCTCTGCATCGCTGTGGGCTAGGCAGGGAGCTCGGACGAGGAGTGCTGCACTCCGGCGAGGAGCTCAGATTGATGCGGGGACATGCGGGGACCCTGTGCATATAGCGCATCACTGTGCATGCCTGCATCATAGCTTCCCAGCGGAGTCCTGCTGATGATCATTCTGTGACTGAGTCCTGCGCGGCCTTCGTTTGCGACAAGTCCAAGGGCTTCCAATATGTGGCAGATCGACATGCCATTGCCTCAGAATCTCAGACACTTACGAGTCTGCTTCCTTCGTCAACAGTGTGGGCGCGCAGGCCGCGCCGCAGCCTGCAACGAATGCGACGGACTTCTGCTGCGAGGAGACTTGCGGCTTTTATGTGGATCCCTGACCGCAGAGATGCTTCTGCCTTGGTGCAGACTAACTCGGTCTTGGCAGGGATTGCAGAGTCAGTGCTGTTGATAAGTTTGGGCATTGAGCGATCCGAACTAAGAAAGCAACATCAACAAGGCATTTAGGTGAGTTTAGACTCTGAACTGCCGCTGACCTGCAGAGTTGCCACCTGCCAGTCAGTCAGCTGCCATTACATCGCTGGGCCCTTGATCCCTTGCAGGATTTCTCAAGCCGCCTTGTTCTGAGAGTCTTAGTAGAAGCTACTATCGCGGAATTGTTAAAGTCAACCCACCGACGCGTCAACTAACACAGGCAGCCCCTCTATTCATTTACTTTGTTGTTGATGTGGTGGCGGTGGTGATGGTGGTTGGGCGCGGCTGCGTGGGCTTCCAACTATAATTTCCTTGTGTGCAGCCCGACGGACTGTCTTGGGGTGCACCTTGTCCGAGTTGTTAAACATTTGCAGCTACTAGCCAGTAGGAGCCGGAGTTTCGTCGACGCGAACAGGAATGATGGCTACCGGATGCACGGACTGACCCGGATTCCCTGTGTTGACATTCCTTTAGGAATGACAAGGTGGAGATGCAAGCCCCGCCACATGTATGAGCGCATAATACCCTCGTAGCCCTGCTAGTTCTGCTCGCATCGGCAACCTAAGGATGAATGTGGAGAGAAAAGCGGAGACTTGAAGCAATCGCCGTCTTTTTGCGTTGTTTGCAGACGGTCATCATCGGTCATCCGTGCTTGCCACATGCCATGACTTTCAACAGCTGAGATCGCCTGAGGCGTTGACGTCTCGGACAAGGTGAAACTGGCCACCGTCGCCACCTCGTGGTGCTTACTTCAGGGATTGCGGGTTCAAGTTCCAGAGAATACACATACTGACCAGGAAGTGAGGTCTCGTCCGTGCATCGCGAAATTTCTAAAGGCTTTCCCCCGATGCTAGCACACTTTTACAATCGAAGGCGGTCGAAGGCTTCTGTTGTCGGGTCCTGGGCCTTGAGCAGAAGGTCGTGACGGACAAGAACTTCAAAGACAAGTGTTGCG